GTATTCATTTCATTCATTACAAATCTTCCACTTCAGATGGAATTCCTAGGGTTTCCTGAGTCCCAGCGTATGCAGCCTCACCCTACTTCTCTACAAGGAGTAAGGAATTTCCATGCTCCATATATATATTAGTCAAATAACATAAATAATAATGAAAATATTGAAGAAGAACCCATTGCTCTCATGAACCAGATGGGCTCATTTTTCTGTACTCCGCCCTAGTTAATACATACATCATTTTAAAGATTAATCAGATTCAATTAAGTATTCTGCCTTTTTAATTCATATTTTCCATATTGCTATATAATTTTTCAGAATATCTGAAAATATGTATATGAATATACATAGATATTTATAAATTATATATTATTTACACTATACAATACATACTAATAAGATAGATCCTCATTGTTTAATTTTTATTTCTTTACAAATAATCGATTTCTTTTCTTTATGTACTTGTTTTCTAGTTTATTTTCAACTATATAAATTGTTCATTTCTTTTGCCAATTCCCTATTGATGTTTTAATGTTGTTTCTTTTTAAGAAAATAATACTCTGATATTTGCCCTGGCTTCTTCTATTTTAAAATAGTGTGTGTGTGTGTGTGTGTGTGTGTGTGTGTGTGTGTGTTTTAATGTAGTTTAGAGGAGTCCAATTTTTAAGAGGTACTTCCCTTTTCCTTTTGTTAACATTGTCCTGAATATTTTCAAAACTAACCATAGAAAAGAAACAATTTAAAGAGAGACATTATGGAATTAAGTTGAGTGAAGAGCTGATGAGCCATAAAGAAAATTACAGTTGCTCTTACCAAATTCTTTGTTGGTTGGGCTTCACTCAGGGAAGGGGATTTTCTTCCTTTAACCTTAAAAACAAAGTCACATTTATAATATGGAATAGTAACCCTTTATTGCTCCTCTCATTGTTTGTAATTGCTAATTTTCATATTACTTTCAGCTCATCTAATCTATTTGAGAACCCACTTTAAGTTTCTTATTGTTAAGATAGTAGAATACTAATTTCATTTGTAAATATAATATCAGGGAAAAGGAAGGAGTAAGAGAGGTTAATCTCCTGAATACCTTGGATCCATAATTTTGTAGGTATGCTTAGCAGTGCATTCATTGCTGTGAAGTCTAAAAAATTAACATAAAAGGGTATACTAACAGAGAAAAAACTTGAATTTAAATCAACATGAAAATGATGTTTTCTTGTAATTGTCAAATTCTGACCATATATTTTTACTAAGCTTCACTCAGCAGAAGCAAAATGAAATAAAACAACAGTAAAAAGTTCATAGCACGTCTGGCTCATGAAGAAAATTCAGTGTAGCTGTCTTTAACATCTTGCCTTATCATTTCAAGAAAAGGTGAACTGTATTGTTTCTTTATGTTGTAACTTAATTTGATGTCAAGATTTAAATTATTCATGTATTTCCTTTCTGTACAGTTAGTTGATTTTGGAACCTGGTGATCCATGCACAGCTCAACACATACGAGAAGGAATTGCAAAAGTATACCATACCTATGATCTTTATTCTTTCATAGGCCATACGTGGTATCAATCAATCATCTGTTTTACACTCTTTTTAGTTGAGCCCAGACTTGAGGCTTATAATCAATATAGTATTTCCAACGGTCACTACTAATCAACTGGAGGTGCAAGCAACATGAAACCTATCTGCCATTTTTGCATTAGACAGAGCTTTGAAATCACTGTAAGTAGGAAGTATTGCTGGTAGACTAGAGTGTAAAGTCTTCATGAATCTTGAGCTGAGCCTTAAAGGATGCACAGAACAAGATAGATAAGATTTATTAAAAAAAAAAA